AAGATCCTCTGGTGGTCCTCGGGGGCGCCTCAGGAGTCAGGAGGCCAGGACACTCACGACCCCAGGCTTCGCCATGTCATGTCAGCTTGTGATTAACAAATCCGTGGCGGCGCGTGTTTAACAAAAATAATTCCCCTGATTTGGCGAATCCTGGGGGGGGGCGCCCGCCATGTTGAAATCAACGGCGGCGCCGCCGCTGACTAGCACCGACGCCCAGCCGCCAGCGGGAAGGCGACAGACAACACAGACTGGGGGAGGGGAGAGGGGGCAGGAGGCAGAGGCGGCAGAAGAAAGGACCGTGAGCCAGGGCGACATCTATTCGAAATGAAACAGAAGAACTGCTGTCGGCGCTCGCCCCAGCACCTTCCGTGCTCTTGCCTGTCGAACCGATGCGTTTCCTTTGCCCTGGCCGCAGCTGGGGGGGGCGCCAGCTGCCCCGCGGGCCCGCGAGCAACGCGGGCTGGACGAAAAGGGGGCGCGGCCGAGAGGGGATGTGCCAAGCAGCTCACATTGTTGACTTTCCGAAAGCCTCTTTGCGCCGAAAGCGGCCATGCATCGAGGACTGGCCCCTCAGCGGGGCGACCGAAACCAGCTGCGCGCAGCAGGATTCGCAACCCCCCCTTTCGTTCTCCAGCTTTCCGTCCGACCCGAGCAATGCGGGCAGTCCTCCTCCCCCCCTCAATCGTGGTTTTTGTAGTCGTCGACGGCGACGATAACGCCGACGCCGACGACGATGACGACGACAACGACGACGACGAAAGCGAGCACGGCGACGACGACGACACGACGAAAACGACGACGACGACGAGAACGACGCCGACGACGAAGGCGAGGACGAAGACGAGGACGAGCACGAGGACGAGGCCGAACGGCGGCGGCGGCGACGACGACGACGACGACGACGACGACGCGACCGACGACGACGACGACACACTGCGGATGGATGCCCTATGGGGGGGGCTGCACACGCCCTGTGATCTCGACGACGACGACGAAAACGACGTCGACGACCACGACGAAGACGACAACGACGACGACGACGACGACGACAAGGACGACGAAGAAGACGACGACGACGACGACGGCGGCGACGACGACGACGACGACGCCTGAGAGGCTGAAACAATTCGCTTCGGATGTGTACGACCCCTATATCACATCCATACGAAAAGGCAATCGTTTGGAGGCTGTCATGCAGGGGAGACACGATCCCCTCGGCGGCCCCAGCGACGACCCCCTGGTGCGCGTGTCTAAAAAACATGTTTCGCGCCCCACGGGGTCCATTCATCAGCTCCTGGGAGGGATCGGGTCATTTGTTAATCACGAGCTGACATCAGGTCTAGTGCTTCCCACCTTTCTCCTCTGCTCCTCCAGTTCTGGGGCCCCACATGATGGGCCCACTCACGGGGCCCTCCCAGAGCTTCGGGTGCTCGAGTGGGTGCTGCGGTATTTCAAAGGCGTTTTAGCGTGCGTGGCCGATTGAGCCGAAGTGGCGCGAGGCTGGCATTCCGAGCTGCTTTCGCAGACCAAAGGGGGCCCCGAGCCGACATCTTGAGGGAGACCGGCTCCCCTCTCGGTTGCGCAAGGAAGGGGCATTCACGCGAGTGCCCTCCCTTTTTGGCGGGGGCAGGCGTCGTGCGCAGAGAGGTCCCGATCTGGCTCCTTCAAGGCAACGCTGGTGTCGACGCACTTGCAGGGCGAGGCCGCCGCGCGCGCGGGTCTCCCAGGCCAGCCGCCATTTCGTGCTCACGATCGAACATGAGGCCCTTCTCGTTTGGAGGCTCATTCGTGTTGGACTCGACTCTATCAGAGCCCCACGGTTGCCGGGGGAAGTACAGGCCGGAGCCTCGCGCAGTGCTGTGCCCTCCCTTCCCCCTCCTCCTCCACCTATACCTGTTGCACGTTTCGGGTCCGCACACTCCCTGACTGAACACGGTAGCGCGTGCAAAGTATGTCAAGGATCAACGACTGAAGCGGCGTTGCCGGGATGTCTGACAGGTGAGCTCTTCCAACTCCTGCACACAGATGGCCAAGTGTCACGAGTTCCAAAGGGACGGCGTCTGAACTTGGCTGGAGGTTGGACCAACCCCTCACACGCCCTGAACTACCATCAATATCTTACACTCTGGTTTTGGAACACGCGTGGTCTCTTCGGTCAGGCCCCGCTCAAGGGCCTGGGAGAAGAACCTTGCAGTCTTTCTGTGTCTGAGGCCAGGCGCGAGTACCTTGACAGGACACGTCGCGGCCTGTTTCCGAACTGCTAAGCTGTAAGCCTGGTTATCACAACATGATGGCGGAAGACCTGGAAGTCCCCATCCTCCCTCCCTGCCCTCATCCTCCTCCTACCCCTCCTCCTCCTCCCCCTCCTTCCTCCTCCTCCCTCCTCTCCTCCTCCCCTCCCTCTGTATAAAACGGAGCGATGATGTCAGGATGGAACGGCCTTTTTTCCCTACGTTGGTAAAGAAAGGAGTCATCACCGCGCGCGGGGAGACAAACGGAATGCCGTCGAGGCGTGTCCTTGTGAGTCGATCGCTCTGCCATGATCTCGTCAATCACGACCCGCATCGAGGGTCAGAACCCGTCCAAAGCGCCGTCGCGAACCCGACTGTTCCTTCTACACTATTGCGAAGACAAGATCAAGATGAATCCGGATGACCGTACATCGAGAATCTCTGATAATCGGCGGGTCTGGAGCGTGCGTCCGGCGCGGCGGCCTGTCCAGTGCCCTCCAGGGAAGCTCTGAAAGCGTTCCGGAACGCTCTCGAGGGAAGCATCTTCACTCTAGGCCAGACTGAATCCTGCCCTCTCCCGCTCTCCTCTTGGAGACGTCCTGTCCACCTCACCGATACTGGCCAAGCTGGCCCAAAGACGGCCCAAAAGTTCCAAAGAGAGAAGCCTTTATGCTCTCTCATCCCTCCACACCTCTCTTCACCCTCCCTCCTCCCTTCACCCACCTTGCTATTTCCCCTTCCCCCAATCCCACTCCCCTCCCACCCTCGTTCCTACTGTTGTTCCCATCCTCTTCCTTCACCACCTGCCCCTACTCCCCCGTCATCCTTATCCCCCCCGTTTGTGTGTTTGTTTGAATGTGTGTGTGATTGTGTGTGAGTGTGTGATTGTGTGTGATTGTGTGTGTGATTGTGTGTGTGAGTGTGTGTGTGTGTGAGTGTGTGTGAGTGTGTGTGTGTGAGTGTGAGTGTGAGTGTGAGTGTGAGTGTGAGTGTGAGTGTGAGTGTGTGTGTGTGTGTGTGAGTGTGTGAGTGTGTGAGTGTGTGAGTGTGTGAGTGTGTGAGTGTGTGAGTGTGTGAGTGTGTGAGTGTGTGTGTGTGTGAGTGTGTGTGTGAGTGTGTGAGTGTGTGAGTGTGTGAGTGTGTGAGTGTGTGAGTGTGTGAGTGTGTGAGTGTGTGAGTGTGTGTGAGTGTGTGAGTGTGTGGTGTGTGAGTGTGTGAGTGTGTGAGTGTGTGAGTGTGTGAGTGAGTGTGGTGAGTGTTGAGTGTGGAGTGTGTGAGTGTGTGAGTGTGGTGAGTGTGAGTGAGTGTGGAGTGTGTGAGTGTGTGAGTGTGTGAGTGTGTGAGTGTGTGAGTGTGTGAGTGTGTGAGTGTGTGAGTGTGTGAGTGTGTGAGTGTGAGAGTGTGAGAGTGTGAGAGTGTGAGAGTGTGAGTGTGAGAGTGTAAGAGTGTGAGAGTGTGAGAGAGTGAGAGAGTGAGAGAGTGAGAGAGTGAGAGAGTGAGAGTGTGAGAGTGTGAGTGTGTGAGAGTGTGAGAGTGTGAGAGTGTGAGAGTGTGAGTGTGTGAGTGTGAGAGCGTGTGGGTGTGTGAGTGTGTGAGTGTGTGAGTGCGTGAGTGTGTGTGTGTGTGAGTGTGTGAGTGTGTGAGTGTGTGAGTGTGTGCGCGTGTGCGTGTGTGCGTGTGTGCGTGTGTGCGTGTGTGCGCGTGTGCGTGTGTGCGTGTGTGCGTGTGTGCGTGTGTGCGTGTGTGCGTGTGTGCGTGTGTGCGTGTGTGCGTGTGTGCGTGTGTGCGTGGTGTGCGTGGTGTGCGTGGTGTGCGTGGTGTGCGTGGTGTGCGGGGTGTGCGGGGTGTGCGGGGTGTGCGTGC